AAAATAAAAAATTTATATCTTTATGTTTGAAGCCTGAAATGTGGCAAAAGGTTGAAAAGTTCAAGGGGGCCGAATACTTTCGCAAGGCACTGTAGATGACAGGAAGAAGTCAGATATGCTAGATAGATAAGACTTTATTGATCCCGAAGGGAAATTGATGATACAACACCTGGAGATGAGGATGGCTGCAGCAGGTTTCCTTTTCCTTTTCCATAAAAAGACACTCAACTATGCCAACCTGAAACTCCTTTGTTGTTAATGTTTGAAATCATTCAGTTTATCATGGTTGAATAATACACTACCCTAACAGTACTGGGTATGTTACTGTGACTATTCTTGACTCAGAATGTTTTGTTCAGATTGTCACATTTACCTCATTCAGTGACATTCAGTGACAGGTGTTGATTGCTCTGACACAGAATCCAAACTGTACAATTTAGCTGTTGTTAATTCTTTTGAACTTACCAGCACTATTTTAGGCAGCATGGTCCTTTCAGCCGGTTTCTGCTCAGCATGAGTAAAACGTCTGTGGCAAATGACTGCTACTTAAATTTCATTTCAAACAGCGAAACGCCGTGCACCCTTATGGAGTTTCGATTGAATCTCTAATAGGAACTCAGGTCTTTACAAGCCAACAGCTTTTGTGCGATGAAAAGCTCATGCGTTTGATTTATTGGAGCTGAAATGAAGTAAACAAAGATTAATTCATGTAAAATACTGTAATTGCACAAGGGTGTTGAGGAGATAATAATCCAGCCTCTTTCATTTGTGTTAATCATAACCTTATACTTCTACCTCATAGTGTGCCAGATGACCTTTGATTTAACATTGGAGTGTTGTAAGCAGTAATGAGAGGCAAAGAAATATTATTACAGTACCTTGACCTTTTACTTAATTTGAGTGTAATGTTTGCAGTTGCAGTTGAGGAGTCAATATATTCTAACAAGTTGGTTCTGAAAATTGAAATGTAATCACACCTTAATGTTTCTCATTAATGCTTTCTTTAAAAAAACAGGCAATGGTGAAACAAAATTGTGCTCTACTCCTAGAAAACATCACATTGTATTCAAGTTGTCTTTGGTCTTTTACAAACTATGGACAAGCATTCACTTTCAAGCAACCTGATTGAAAAGACTTAATAAATCCTATGTTTGTATTACCTGCATGTTATTCACTGTATAAAACCTTGGTAAAAGTGAAAACGTTTAGGATAGAGTGGTAAAATCTATCTGTCTGAAAGCTATACATTAGATAATGAATATCGTTATGTCTTGTCATTGCTCAAAATAATTTGTAAAGCTTCAATTCTCCAAAGCTGGATACAGTAGATTTTATAGGTTTCTTTAAATCATTACATGCTCCCTGTAAATAGAGAGAAATCGGTCCACTTAATGGAATTTTTGGTTGAACTTCTGTACATAGTCTAGAGCTTAGCTAGAGAAAGGCAGGTCAGGCCATGTAGTTCAAAGACTGCTAAGTCAAATATGTTATGCCACTAAGTGACTATACCCAGACACTCAAGGATTGAATGTGAGGAATAGTGATATTAATAAGAAAAAGAAATCCCCTTAGAGCAATATCATATTAGAGCAATTGTCAGTAGAATGAGTCAGTATTATTGGAAATCCTTTTGCCTGGTTTTCCAAAAATAAACATAGATGATCAATGCTTATTGCCCCAAACCTCATGTTCACGTTAATTTCCCATTTGTACACATTTTATTAAGACAAAAACAGATAAATTTAACTGTTTCATCGTTACCGTTTGTTCGATTCAATTGCAATCTGAATTGAGACATATTGTTAGCTTAAAAAGGTTTAGAGACATGTCCTGCTTTCCAGGTTTGTGTTTAGTTGTGTTAGTAAGATTTTTATGTAAGGATGTGTAGGAGCTGCATAGAAAGGATTTAGGGGAGACTTATCATGCAGAGAAGTGAAATAGGTTAGAAATGACTGAATAGTTTGTGTTCCATCTATTTAGTTCTACAGAATGTTATTCATCCTACAGAATGGTGCTTAAAAAACTGAGACTTAAAAATGATTTATAGTAATATTTTTTTTGAACTATTCGAGTTAAATCATTTTCGTTACTATATGTAAAGTGTAGATCAAAGTGTCTTGCAAGTCAGGAGATTTAATTATTTGATTAATAAACGGATTGTGCACAATGTGTTAAATATTTAATCACTCACTATATCTGTGAAACTGTCATAAAATTTCAATGAAAAAATAGTTTGTGTGGGTTTCCTCTGGGTGCTCCAGTTTCCTCCCACAGCCCATGGTCATACTGGTAAGTTTATTAGCTTGTAGTGAGTGTTCGTGTCTGTTTGCCCTGCAAATGGACTGGAGTCCTGTCCAAGGTGTATCCTGCCTTGTGTCTGCTGCTTGCCAAGTGAAGGCTATGGTTTCCCCTCTTGATCTGGTCCTGGATAAAGAGATTTAGAAAATGAACGGATGGATGATTCTTTGAAGTGAAAAGGAAAAAACGACAAATCAGGTGATTAAGAGAATGCTTTATCATGCAATTTGGTTTTATTAAAAACAAGTTTGATACAAATAAATAGAGGTAAACAATAAACAATATTTTTTTTACATAATGTATTTAACATTTGCTTCCTTTTTGTACTGTAAACTCAATATGTATGCTTCAGTTTTCTCTTCTCTTTATGGAGTCCATGTTTTACAAAAAATAAAAGTAAATAATAAATAAAAGTGAAATAGTTTCTCCTGGAATATTGGCATTTTCAGGAACAAAACGTCTCAGAGTAATATTATTTCTGTATGTTATTACGGGAAATGAGTTGTATCTATCCATAGGAGTAAAAATTATACTGTGCGGGTGCACACAAAGACAAAAATATGTTTTATTGAACTTATATTGGTAAGAGTTTAACACAGTTCTAAATGAAAGCCAAAAACTTTAAAATGAATCAAATTGGAGCTAAAGTAAAAATAAATGGGTTTGTGAAATGCACTGTAAAATAGATAAAGAAATGCTCCTTGAAACAGCACATTTTTAAGACCGCTCAGTTAAAGATATATAGCGCAATCATGACAAATGTCAGTCATTTAAAGATTTGGCTTTCTGTAAGAATATTTTGTTGGTTTAGGCAGAAGGAGGATCTCATTCCATATAGCAGAAATCCTCAATGTTATTTCCCCTTATTTTCTCCAGCTCCTGACGGTCCAGCAGTCGGTAGTTAAATGCCACACGATTGACAAATTTCCCACTGGATACCATCCTCACAACAGTGTTGTCACATCCGATCTTCATTTGCGCTACAGATACAAACACGCAGGATTGGAAGGTTAGGGTTAAAGACTGTGTTTGGAGTTTCTGACATTGCTCTTAAATGGTTCAACTCTCACTTCGCCAGGTTTGATTTTTTATTTCAGGCTTTGACCCTCAGGTGCAAAATAATGTAAAAACATCATTCCTCCATCTTATGCAGTAAATAGTGCCAGACTATGCCCTGTGTCGTCTCTGACTGTAGCAGGCCAACAAGTGTGTCTTTTTCAGGATTGATTACTGTAATGCCCTGCTCCCTGGGGTATCTCAATCTTCTACGCTGTTGTGTGCTGGGGCAGCAGCATCATGACAAGAGATGAGATGCAAATAGGCTCAATAAAATTATCAAAAAGGCTGGCACTGTGTTGGGGAAGAGCCTTGACCCCCTGGAGAATGCTGAGAGGAGAATGCTGACCAAGCTCACAGCCATCATGAACAACACCTCTCATCTGCTTCATGGTACCGTTATTGGCCAGCCGAGCACTTTTAGCAACAGACTGCTCCAGCTACAGTGTTCAAGGGAACCTTTCCGCAGGTCTTTCCTCCCAGAGGCTGTCAGGGTATATAACGCTGCCCTAGGCTAGGACTGTTAGCCCTTCATTTGCTCGTCTATGGACAGCATGTTGCTCCATTGTACTTTTTGGACAATCAATCTGTATAAACCTATGCACAATTTGCACATATTTTATTGTTCTAACAGTGACTATAATCATCATATTTTGCACACACCTATGTATTTATGTATTTATTTTATATTTATTTTATATAATTTTTAGTCTATTCTGATGTCTGTTTTTTCTTGTCTTGGGCTGGACTGCTGTAACACATCAATTTCCCTTTGGGATCAATAAAGTCTTATCTATCTATCAATTCACTCTAAACAGACTTCAGTATGTCCAGAATTCAGCAGCCAGGATCCTGACCTGGTCACATGCAAGTGATCACATCACTCCTGTCCTGGAGTCCTTGTGCTGGTGTCCTATCAGATTTTGTGTCGACTTCAAAATCCTCATGCTCACCTATATGGCTCTAATTGTTTGGCACCTCAGTACCCATCTGACTTAGTATATCCCTACTCCCCACCTCTTACAATCTTAATTGATCTGATTCTGGTCTCCTGTTTGTCCGCCAAGCTTGCTTACACTGTATGGGCACGTCTCTTGAAATGCCCCAAAGCTCTAGAATTCTATCCCCAAGGACTTCAGAGAGCACATTCAAATCCAGACTCAAAACTTTCTCATTCAGAAAAGCTTTTATGTAATTGGTGTCTGTGTCTGCTCTTTGCAACTCCTACTACATTTCTAATCCCTTGTAATTTTGTTTCTTTGGTACGGTTTTCTTTTGTTTTAACCATTTTTTTTAAAACAATTGATGGACAATGGACAATAGATGGGTTAATAGAGGCACTGTTCATGACACTTGGCTTGCCTGGATTCAGAGGTACTCTTTAGCCAATGCTTAGAAATTACTTTACTGCTGACTGTCATCTCCCTTTTTCTCCCTGACACAAGGCAAGCTAAAGGGTCCAGGATCCTGCATTTCCCAAACTCACCCAACTGCATTTGCGGTATCTCGAGTTTGGCACCTGCGAGGCCAGTTCCCAGTGTGAAAGATCCACACTTACCAGGCCCATTAAAGGAATAGCAAAGGTCCGCCACAGGAAGCATCTTCGATGTGTCGACACCATTGCCTCCCAGGAGCTCCACAAAGTCCCCTGCTCCCCCGCAGCCTGTCACCGCTCTCTGAAACACAGGGCGAGAAACTGTAAGGTATCAGAGATCCAGAAGAGCAGCTTCAGGAAGAGTGCTAGCTCCGCTTAGCAAACCTTCACACAGGGAGCATGGAATACACAGCCCAGGGAGCAAAAAGCTTCTCGAGTGTACAAGCTGACAGTAACTGGAATTAAAAGATGGCACCGTCTCCCATTTACAGTAGTGTAGGTGTTTACTCCATTGAATAAGATAAGAAAAGATTGGAAACGTTATTGTCCCCTAGGAAAGGATTTTTATGAACACACTGTGCTTCTGTATATCTGAATACATCACAAAACAAATCTCTTGCACATGCATAACTCATCATAAAAAACATCATGACATATCACACACATCATTTGTTACAGCATAAAATTTTTATACTACCCAAACTGTATTTACCTTTGTATTAACTGCATTAACAGATTAGGGAACACATGAATATTTGTATCTATTCTATCTATCGATTTGGGAGCCCTAAAATGTTTTCCAGAGGAAAGATACTGATACTCAGAATTAAGAATATTAAAAGGATCTGATATGATCTTACACCTATGACCCAGCAAAGCTCACAAACTAATACTCTGATGTCATAATCATGTACCCAGTGAAACCAGTGTAGCACTTTTTCATCATGTTTCACTACAATGTCAGGAGGTCTCTCTAAACAAAGGGTTTACATGCTCATAATCAATGTCAGTGTTGTGAGTAGCTCACAATAAAGAAATTATTTTAAATAGGCAAATATCCGTTATACTATATATTGTTTTTGAATTATGTGGGTAATGATACAGTATGTCTGATTTTTGAGTCCAGCAAATAAATAGCTGTTTGACAACACCAGAAAAATTAAACTTAGCCTAAACATGTTCTTCAGAGGTCTCAGTATTTAATTAAAACATCTCACATACAGTACACAATACTCAATAGAAGTTTTTCTCACTAGCATTATGGGTAAAAATAAAAAAACATCTGCTGCCATTTTAAAAATAAAAGTCAACGACCTACAGTACAATTGCAATACAGTACATTAATTGCGCAATAATACTTCAACACTGTTTATTTCTTTGACACTTCAGTTGTGTTGGTCTTATTACAACCCAAAATATTCCCACTGATTCTCACCTTCACTTGAAAATCATTGTAGTGCCCCAAAGTAAGCTCAGCTATTTGGATTTCCACAGGATATATGATGGAGAAGCTGCAATTCCTGTGCTGATGTGGGGTTATCATTGTGAAACTGCCCTCTGGGGTTTGGGAAATGACATTGCATGCTGTTGGAAGAGAAATACAGAAAAACGTTGGACATCCTACAGTACATTGAACTGTTTGATCAGTTCGAATAGAGCAAGCAAAAGGATACTACTAAAAGATAACTACTAGGTGGCTCTGGCAGATTTTAGTACTTTACTATGAGGAAGTCTTGATGTTGATCAGTTGAGACCAATTATTAAAGCAATGCAGACGGTAGTATTGGTTAAGAAGAGTAAATCTGCCACTCTAGTAGGCAAACTAGAGCAGTGGTTCCTGGGTATCCTGTGTGATGGCAGATTCTTCTGCCTAAATACATGCATTTTCAATTGATTTCCATTTATTATCTGATGCATAGTTTGGAATTTACTTTCAGCTCTTAAAACAATGAATGCCATTTGTAGCTGGTATGAAATGTGTACTAATTTGCAGAACTAACCTCATTCAGATGAGTTGTGTGAAACAGATGGACTTAAGCAGAAAGATATAACAGTATTAGATAAATTGTTATTCCCAACTGTGTCTGTACATCATCAATTGACCACTTAACAAGAGATTTTTAGTCAGAAATAAGGACAAGCAGTTACATAAAAATTCTGTAAATAGCTGGTAGCTACCCTTGAAGGAGGGAATTTTTGGAACGCAAGTAAATGACATCAAGTTATCAATAATTGCTGGATATTTTTAGCTTAACTGGAACAAAATTCCAACAGTCATAATGATTCCCCCAACGCCAGGAATGGGAACCACGGAGCTAGAGAAAGGAGGCACTAATAAATATTTCCCTTTTTCCACTACTTTTTTCCAGTACTTTTTCCATGTGCCTCATTCCCACACTGCACTACTTCCACACCATAGTAATTGCCAGATATAAGTTTGTATTAATTTGTTACCTATTTGTGTGGACAAGTAACAATTTCGTCTTAATAAGCAGTTGTCATGTCGGTAATCATGGAAAATTGGTATAATGTAAATCAGTTCCAGGGCTTTTAAATGACTTGATAGAGACATGGGCATTACATTCAAAACACTTTAGTGCTTAAATTTCCACAGGAAAGAGTTTGGGGTTGAATAATTTCGTCTACAAAATTGTATCATGAAAGCTCAGTTCTAGAACTCCCAGGGGCAATAAGACATCCATTTCAATATGGCAGTAGAAGTTTAATCTGAATGTTTGAATATCAGGCCCTGGGATATGCAGAACTCTGCTGTTTTCTGCAAGTTGAAGAATTTCCAGATCAATGTATACTGTACCTTGAAACAGTCTCAAAAAAGTAATTGCCTCTTTTGTAAAGTCTACAATAAATCCTAAAAATAATTAATCCATGACAGGAATGGAATTATATCAAAGTTGGATGGTTAGCCAGTGAAAACCTGTACTGCTTCATAAAATGAAAAATCCATAAATCTGGTCAAGATTATAATCTGGGTAATAAAATATCCATATTTTATATATGTGTCTAAAGTACTTTACACTTTTCTAATGTTTTTGTTACACACAAAATGTGAGCTCCTTGACTAGAAAGATCATTGGTAGCCTTGGAATATAGGGTTATATTGAGATTTAATGTTTCCTAGATTACATAAATACTATCAGTTCATGTCTATGCTTAGACATACCATATGAATATCCAACACAAAGCCAGTAACAGAATACATCCATCCAACACATTCACACACCATCCTAAACACACACCAGTAATTAAATAAATAACAGTAGGTCCTGATAGATATCAATGAGCCATGCATAAATGTCAAAAATAAAAGGTACAGCACAGTTACAAAAAGCAAAAGTTGGTAGTGGTTATCTTGACAGTCCTAAGTTGCGTACCAGAGAGAAGAAAGGTAAACAGCGGTTGTGTAGGGTGGGGTGGGGTTAACAGACACAGTGACGTAAAGATCTGGAGAAGATTGGTTCTAAATGTACTGTACATGATTTGCAATCTTCCAACACACTTACCCACTCTTTCTTGTCCATTTTCTCTGCCAATTTTTCTCTTGAGCTCACTGAGGGTATGTATCTGTATTTGTCCAATTTTTCCTCAACAGAAAAAACCCGTATTCGAGTTCCATTCTGCTAATACTGGATTACTGCTAAACTGTAACTACATAATGGAGCATTAAGGAAAAAAAATCAACTAGCATCCCCTGACCCCTATCTAAATTGATTATATTTTGTTACATATTAATGTACTTGATGGATGTTAACTAAGATAGCAATTGAATTGGGACTTGGTGATCTGGTACCAGTCCATCAGGATAATTGTGTTACCAAAGACAATTAAATCCTACCCCTAGAATTGCAGTAGTAGCAATTCTACTATTATTATCATCACCATCAAGACAGCTTTCCTTTGCTTGTATACAAAGTGCAAAATGCATATATCTCTATATAAAATACATACTTGTAATTCAGTGAGCAGCTTTCTTAGCTGCAATGTATAATGATTGTGAATTTCATTTCTGTACATTATTATATACAGTATATATAGTCCTGCAAATCATTACTAAGATCATCCAAGGCTATTACTAGGCTTTTGAGTACAGTACAGTAGTTTCTGTAAATGCATAAATATAAATATCCTAGCAACCATCTGATTGCGTCAGTTACTAATGGTGTAATCACAGTTGACCCACTTAATATTGTTGGGTATGACATATGCTTTCTTTCATAACTCAATTTAGTCATTAAAATGTGTAGTTATCAGCTGTATAATATCTGACTTTCTTCTATTTGTACATTATAACTCGACAGGCATAGCAATTTGGAGGGGGTTTTATGTATAACTATGGGGGAGGAAGCAAATTAATAGTAATACAGCTTGAGTAAAGGACTAGTATGTGCCTTGCAGTGAAGACTGCAGACGTACATGAATTAACTCCAGCAGTAATATGTGAGGTCACTGGTGAAATCATTGTTTACAATGAGTGTTGTTTTCATATCATTTAGCAAATGTTATACTGTATACAGTATATGCATTCCAAAACATTGAATAAAGACCTTGTATCATTATAGTAAAAAAGCTACAGGAATAATTTTAGTGACCGTGTCGATGGCAATTGTTAAAAAATAACTCAAAGATCCAGTACACATACTGTATGCATGTATATTTTTCTCATATAAAAGTGTGTTTGGAAGCTGAAAAAACGTAATTTGTTATCTCACGGGCATTTGGCAATAACATACACCCTTTCTTCCCTATTAGTCTATAAACTAATAGTTGTACTGTATTAAAAGGCTTTGGGAGAAAAGACCTTTCTTAACAGATCTGATATTCTCTTTGTGAAAAAACAATTTGTATCCACAACAAGCAACAATTAACTCTTAAGCATTAGGGGAAGGTGGCCTCACTCTGATTTTGTAGAATAAAACTATTGAACGCTGTAACTGTAAACTTGAAATACTCTAACCAGATTAGTCTAGCTGCCCATTTTATTGAGTAAAGTGTGATTCTTATTTCTTTTCAGCACTGTGCTTTGCTCCTGCTCTTGAACAGAAGCAGGGAAAGGTTTCCTTGAATCCCTTGAACAATTTGGTAGCAGCTCAAATCGCTATTGACAGGCTCACATGGACATGGGGACTTACGGAAAGGGTTGTTGATCTTCTTAACAGTGATGGTGAATCCGTTCCCTGCTGTGCGCATTCGGAAAAAGAGCATTGCCACATTCTGTGACGACCGGACAACTCTCCTCATGCTGCCAGTTTCACAGTAGTCTACATATCGTTCGTAGAGAGGGAGGGGGTGATCCACAGAGCTAGGAAATTTTTCTCCTTTTAATATCCATCCATCAAACGCCTGCAAAGAGGAAACTAGATTTAATCATGCAGTCATAATCGGTGGGTGTGTTCGGTGTCATCTGTGTATTGTTACCTGTTATGAATTGTTGCACAAAACCATTGCAATGTATAGTTTCCCTGATGTAATTTTGACACATAATGAAGGAATTGGGTTTTTTAAACAGCTTTTCATAATATCACAGTGCTGTTGAAAGTTGAAAACTGCATTTAACTTTTCTCTGTCACTTAACTTTAGACCACATATACATGATGCTGGTTTTGACTGATGATGATACAGAGTATTTTTACACCGGAACATACAAAAGCATACTCATTTTACTCATCTTTATGAGTCCAACAAGTGAAATAAATTACAGTACTGCTCAAAACATGTTATCACTGTATAATTTAAAATTAAAAAGATGTTCAAACTAGGATCACACAGATTTCAGTGACAGAGTGTGGAGCTGCAATTAAAGCAAATAAAAAACATGACTGTGGGTTCATTGCTGTGTATTGGCAAGTTTAGGCAAGTTAGATTGGACCATGGCAATGGAAAACCGATAAAATAAGATAAAAGACAAGGAAGAGGGTAAAGAGGCCTGATTCATCTGGGTCTTTTTTGATAATAGAGTATAAACAAGACATTTTTGTTTACTTTGTTCTCATATTTGCTCCATTGTGCTCATTTATGTGATATTTATTTAAAGAACATAATGTCTGGAAACTTATATTAATGTTTTCCCTACTGTTTTATTTTATGGCATTCCCAAAGGATAAAATATACAGTAATATCAAAAACATACTGATAAAACACATTTTTGTTGTTGGAAGGGAAAATTATGCAGAACATAAAGAAATTAAATTAAAAAATCACTAATAATTTTAGTATTTGCTTGATTGAATATTGTCTATTTGACATTAAATTCCTAACTAAAGAAAAACACATTAAAAAGCTTTACAAAGTTTACAATTTAGCCATTCTACCCTCGTTCTCACAGTGCTCTTTCTTTTAAATTCAAATGCATTGAACTTCTGTTTAAAATGGTATTGCATTCAGCTTAATTGGAAGACTAGCTTTCCTCTGAGAAAAGTAATTCTGCAAAAGATGGAGAGCAGATGTGAAAGTCTCCCATTACATGTGCTTTAAAGGCACAACATTATTGTGAAATAAGGACTATATTTTTAATAATCAATTTTAATTAGTTGTAATAGATTAAGTAATTTCTAAAAACTAGAATTTTTGTCATGCATCTAGCATGTTCAAGGAAATGTATGGTATATAAAACTATCATGCTTTAGTGACTCAGTGCCTTTGTAAAGAATTGTTGTTTCAAGTAAAGAGTAATATGATGTTTTTGTATATAAATATGCCCAATGAATACTTTTGAGGCAGTGTTATCATTAACTAGAAATATAAATGATTCAGTCTGGTACATAAAAGCACACAGTAAGTCTCTTCAGTCTTTATATAGGTCTCTTACACCTGCAAATATTATACAGTGTTAATTATAAAAAACTCTGCATTTCAGTTCTATACCTAAAATTGAGACCAATTTATGTTGTTAGTGCTTGTTATGTTGTTATGATTTGTGCTGAATTAGAAATGCCAAGCGAGATGCTAAAGTTATGGTAGTTCCTATATTATTATACAGCTGTTAATCAGTCCTAATTGCACCATACTGTACCTGTAAAGGTGAATGACACAGACCTACAGTAAGTGTGTTGTTAAGAAGCACAATACTTGTCATGTAAGAGTCACATGGGAAAAAGAGGTGATCCAATGTATTCCTTCAATCCATGCATTTTCTATTGTATCTAATATGGGGTCGTAGGTGAGCTGGAGCCTATCCCAGAAAAAACAAGGACAAGGCAGCCATCAAATGTATTAGCACTGGCAAAATTAATAGAATGAGCAGGAGGATTTGGTGAAATCAATGGAACACATTGATTGGCATATGTTCACTTTTTGCTTATTTTCAGCTCTCAATCATTTACAGCTATGATGAAGAACAGAGGTACCTTGCCTGGTGTTAGGAATAGTTATTTAATAGTATAAATCTGTAGTAAATATAAGATACATACAGTAAATAATTCAATGTATTTGCTTCTAATTTGTCATAATTTATTAACTTACATAAAAAATGATTATTTAAAATATGAGAAAGTTTAAACCATACTGTATGAACAACTGCAACAATGTTTATTGTATTAATACAATTTTTAGCAATGCTTGCATCAGCTACCTAGAACCTGCAGACCATAGACAAATTAACATATTATGCAAATTTGAAATTCTTACTATAGATATATGTTAAACCTTTTTCAGAACAAAATGGCCTTGGAGATATAAACTTTGAAATTGCTACAAAATCATAAAACAATTTTAAAAATGCCAAACAGTTTGATAGTTATCTTATCAACAGGGGATTTATATAAAACTTCAGATTAAAACTCCATTACCAGTGTTTGTTGAGAGAAAAGGCTAATGTTCCATGTTCCTCTTCTTACTAGATATTGTAAAACTATAAGGTCAATGGGGGGAAAGGGTTTATTTTCTGTACATAATTGTTGATTCACAGTTCCTTGCCAATATGCCATGAATAGAGATTTACAGTAATTGTTGCTTCACAGGTCCTTGTCAATGTGTGGTGAATACAGTATAGACTTAATTGTTGCTTCACAGGTCCTTGTCAATCTGCTGTGAATACAGGAATAAAAGCCATGAACATTTCTTCAGCAGGATGATGGATTACCTTAATGAAGTCACCTCCACTGCAGTCTATGTTGACAGAATTGTATTCAATGCTGATAATCTCATGGGGTTCTCCAATGAAGAAGGCTGCACAGTTAAGTTGTGGATGATCGGCTGTGAATGTAAATTGTCCCTCCATGGCCAGCATGTCTATACACCCTGAAAAGAAATAAAATGCTGTCATTGGGAGGTGGTACCAGAACCGTATTTACTGCATTGAATAGCGGTGACTTTATTTTATGTGCAGCTTCAGTAGCTGCTGAGCTCATGGGTGCCATTCTTGTAGATCGCAGGAGCCTCAGAATTGGTTTTAAGACAAACCAAAGAACTCCTTTCTTAGAAATGACTGGAAGTCTCTGGGTGGTTCTCTGTACAAAATTGAAAATACATTTCATGCTACTTTCAAAGCCAATCATGATAAAAAAGGTTCATGCATTAAAATCTTGGCACAACATAAGCTTTTTATGCTAGCATTTTAAATGTATATTGATAAGATAAACAATAAAGGATCATAGCTACAGTGTACTATTTATGAATATCTATATACAGTATAGTATTGGAACCAATTGCATTTGTTGCATTTTAAATGTCTCTCAGCAAAGATTTCTGATCTGATGTCATTTCTGTATATTACCATGGAAGGAAAAGCAGGATATCAGGTTTACAAACAGAGCAAGTAAGAAATAATAATCATCATTTTACAAATCTATCATTGTATATCCTGTCACTCTATCCGTCATTCAATTTTATTTTCATTTATTTTTTATGGTTAAGTTTACATTTTTTATTTAAGGTACCCCCTGATGCACTATTATCATACTCATGGCAAAAAAAAGAAAGAATACAAATTTAGATTAGGATTAATCTAAGTCTGTATGGTTTAACTGTATCATTTGATTAACTATCATCTATCTAATATCAATAAATATTATATTTATTTTTCATATCTTACATTATGTCGTAATTCCAAACATAAATGTCAAAATGTTTGACATGATTTCACAAAACAATTGAAAAAAAAATTAAAACAATTGTTATGTGTTTTCCAAATAAGCCTTTCTATTAATGAATCCCACTTACAAATAGATGAAAAGGAGTGTATTTGTCCTTTTTTAAAAAGTTGGTACTTTCTTACTGGAAGAACCTGAGACATACGATATTACAGTATAATATTCAAGTTCACTTACTTAGCGGTCGGCGATACACAAATTCTTCAGATAATTCTCTTTTGATTTCTGAATTAAGTAGCGAAAATACTGCTTCTGGGGTAATGTCATTGTCCTGAAGGCACAGAAGCACAAAACAGTTTAATGTTATTTTTTTTTAATCAATGAATTCGAAGTTGAACATTTTTTTAATCAAACCATTTCTGTTACATAAATTGTCGGTCAATTTAAACTGTGCGGGCAAGTGCGCATATGAAACACACACAAAAAAAAAAAAATTAGAAATGTAACAGATTTTTTCTTAAATGAAGCCAGTAACATAAATAACACCGTTATTACCAGCATGATCCGATGTCTGTACAAGGCTAAAAGTTCACGTCTTAGCCGCTTGATAACTCCCCACCAGGTAGATCCAATCTATATTTTAATGTCAAATTCTAAGAAAATCACAGTGAATGTAAGAAAGAAGAGCGAACTGTTAAACTCACCTCCAGGTATCTGCTTTCTCCCTTGAGAGCTGACAGACAGATCAAGAAGAAGTACAACTGCACTCTGAAAGCCACAGACATCGCAGCTCTCCTGACAGCACTTAAGGAATGAAAATACTGATACTATAGCCAGAACGCCCCTTTTATAGAAAGCGGAGCTTTGTTTCATGTAACGCTCCGGTACAGATCAATTGATAAGAATTCTATTGCCATAGGCTAACCTGTCTAACTGCCAGAATTACGTTATCGTGACGAGGACCGAATCCAATAACTGCCCCGATGTTAAAAAGTATCTGGCAAATTAAATAGCCTGTCTATTCCAAGTCCTCATCAGTGGTCTGTCAACCACAATAAAATTAAATACACCGTAAATAAATGCATACTTTCTAATAGATAAACGATTGGAAACCATCCGTTTCACATGTCATCTTAAATAATGTATTGTTAACTTTAATATGGCTATTACCTTAATAGTAATGAATTCATTGCTTTATTTAGTTACGTAGCAGACCTCCGCTTTAGAAGTTCTTCGAACTGAAAACAATTGAAATTGTGTTTTCTTACATTAGTATTGAAGAAACGCTGTAATGATCGCTTTGGGATAACATATTTTTAATTAAAATATTAACCTATTCGGAAAGCTAATAAACCATTGTTGAAACAAGATGCACAGGAAAATACTTCACGAAATACTTGACTCATCATTGTGGCTTGTTTGATACCAGGTACAGTATGTTACTCTTCACACTTTTATTAGTCTTCCTCAGAATGATTTATTTAGAAATGAATTTTCCAGCAGTTATTGCAATCTGTGTGTATAGTTTAGGTACATTATCAAGCATCCTACAAGTGTAAGGCACAAACTCAACTGCAAATAGGAACCTTTTCAGTTGCCTTAATACAAATATGTTCTTTGCATAAAATGAAAGAGCTACAAGCATCACCTATTGAGAGAAGAAATGTCAGCGCACGGAGAGCTGATATTTACTGGTAGCACCATACAGTAGTTATTCATCCCACCCTCTAGCTTAAGGACCTATATCAGTAGTTCTTCAGTAACAATCATTGGAAATTATCTAATTATTCTAATAAAAAAACATTAATTTGAGTTAACATAAACTGTAAATAAACTAAATAAATGTGTGAACTATTTAAATCACCCGTGTCGTGTCATTACGGCATAACTCTGTAAGAACGCAGGAGATTTCCGAACATTCCTAAAATGCGTTTTTCTTTGGGGCATATTTTCTCTTACGTTCTAAGGAGTCACAGGTAGAAAATGTCCATTTAAATCAAATTGCACACATTGAAGTGCCAGCTTATATATTTGCATTAAAACCAGGAGTTTTACAATGGTGATGATTTTCACCCCTGCCCTGCTTGCTGTGAACGCCAGTGTTAATCGTCTGTGACAGGCAGAGCCATCAAATGCAGAGTTTATCTTCCTTTGCTATTTCCAACACTCTACATTCTTTCACTCTGACATTCTTCTGTCTCATCAGCTATCATAGATGTGGATCTTGACATTGCTCTTCTGAATCAATTGTGTATACCACACACAGTCTGTTGATGTAAGAAGAAGCCATTTAACCTACTGTACCAGCATGATTTTGGACTGTGGAAGGAAACTGGAGCACACAGGGGACACCCACAGAAACACAGAGAGAACAAACAGAATCCACTCAGAAGGCAACCCAGGTCAGGAATTGAACCAGAGCCCCAGTGAATTTTGACTGCTCTTTGAAGCCAGCCAGCTGCCACTAGAAACTGTTTCTCTTGAAATTTAAATAATAATAAATACTTGTAATTACAAATAAAAATAGTTCATTACAACAATACAAATTTGCTGTTCTTCTCTATTGTTCTGAGGGTCCAAATATTTGTGTTTTTAAAACACAAACTGTACAGTATTAGATTCCCAAGGTATAAAGCTGTGTGCCCATACGATTTACAATGAAATGCTTCTGCAGCTTGTGCATTTCAATGTAGTTTATTTTGTTTTCTGTCCTAAAGAATATATTGTTATACAGTATACGGTACTGTATATACTAATTGTATATACTGTGATATATAATAAGATCACAAAGGGAAACAAAGTCAATTTCTGTCCAGAAAAGGAATTTCTTAAACAGGTTAATTTGTCTGAATCTCTGCAGTCTTGAACAGAAGAGACCACAAAGGGTTCTTTGATTATTACTAGTATAGAAACCAAAAGATTCGAGCCTGAAGTGTCCGTTCATCAAGACAAGCTTTATTGTATGCATACAATGAGCAATGCATTGGAGGCTTATTGTTGTACTGCTCAGAGGGAATATGGCTCTACACAGCTTATACAGTATATACTTTTCTCTACCCCCTCACCCCCCACCCCTCCTGTCTTTGGGGTACTTACTCAAGCAAAAACTCAAGGGCTCAGAGCGCAATTAAAACATTCCTTTCTTAACAGGGAGGTTGGTACAGAAGATGGAAGTTTAGTACAGAGAGGGAGAAGCACCTGTGCTAAAGAAATCATGAAGGTTAGAGTTTAGCAAGTGGATTCAGCAGGATTTCACAGCTCCTACCTCTATATAAGTACAGAGTAACATACAGATTCTGCTAGTGGACTCCATCACTAGCAAAAAAAGCAAAAGTGGTAACCTTTACCTCTAAAGTGGTAACCTTTAGAATGTTCTTATGACTGGAAATTGTGTCCAGAAAATTACTCTTGTTACAGGTTGAGGGACTGTAGGTGGAGGTCTCTATGAGAATCTAGACACAATAGGTAATGCCTAATCAGTGTCAATATGTCCACTTCCTATAGCTTCAAAGGGATGTTTACTTAATTGGGTAAATGATTAAGACTGTCAAAAGTGTAGGATAAAAGACAGAGGACAGAACAAGGAAACGGAGGGAAGAGCACAAAAGAAAGGAGAGAAAGGGGAAGAGAGTCCCTTGTTCAAGATCATCCCAAAAAAACTCTGGAAGTAAGAATCTGAAACTTTTTAAGGAACTTGAAGTTCCTGAGTAAAGAATCCTTCAGTTTAAAACTGCCTCTCTGATAATAGCGAGATAGGCGCCCATTTGTTTTGTGGCCTCTGTGTTAGAGAGAGAGATTTCATCTTAGTTTGTATTTATTTCTGTTTAGTTTAGAAGGTAGCTTATCTCTTCTTTGGCATTATTTAACCAAGTGTTCCTGAATCATTATTCTTTTCACTAAAGCTGTACCAGAGAACAAAGAATTAATATGCCTCAAACTAAACCAGCTGCTCAGAAATATTCCTGGAGATAACCTTACTAGTTGGGGGTTAAGATTATTTTATTAATTGACTAATCTGCGCAGTCATTTCCTTTGATGTTCTGAATTTCATAACCTCCCATTTGTAACAATATGCAATGAGACATTGAAAGGTAAAGCTACATCAGCATCTGCTGTAAGAGTTCAGGTGGGTAGCTGCGTCAGCATGCATAGGCTGCAAAGGAACACGTAATAGGCTTATTCCATGCTGAAAAGAGAAGAAAGGAAACACAATGTTTCGGCTGTGGAGCCTTCTTCAGGTGTCTGGACACAAAAAACGTAGAGATAACAGTAGAGAGAAAGTTACACAAAATAAATATAGAGGGGAGTATCTAGAGCAAAGAAGATATTGTCATACTGATAAAAACAGATAAACATGTGAACCTATAGGTCTCAAGACTAATGTATCCAATGCTCTTTCCTTTAAAAAAAATGCAGGAGTATCTTGAACCTGTCTTGAGTATCTCGAATGTTTGAGTCAACATCATATGATGCTACAGGTAGCAATTTATTTCCATCTATAATTTTTTTTTTATTGACAGAATACATATATACATATATCCAAAAGTTGAGATCACCAGGTGTGTTTTCTTTTTCCCACCAATTCATATAACGTGATATAAATCTCTAGAGAACAGTAACAAAGTTACTCTTTCTCTGCAAAGTGTGTAGCAAAGAATAGTTCTTGGAAAGAAAGAATACTTTGTCTACAACTGTTCACATATAACTACTAAAAATGAGTGAGGAACACTTTCAAATTTGAATTCAAACAACATGTTAAGCAACAAAATGTTTTCTGAAAACAAAATCACCGTACCTAATGCTGATAATTTGAAATTTTATTGCCTATGTTTCATTTTGATTTTAATTTCTTTGCAGATGCCACACACTGGCTTATGTGTCCAATTTATAGTTGAATGGGGAAATAGTGACCTCAGAAGGGACCAAGCAGAAAAGCCCTTTTTTGTTACAAAACGAGACTGTTGGTTTAATGATTCATCGCAGCATCTCAAACGGAACACAACATGCTGATGCTAATTTAAAATAATACTGCTGTAGTGTTTTGCCGTGTAGGAGCAGGATGTTGGGTGGCAAGGTGTCGCAGTGGTTAGCATTGTAGCCTGCAGTTCCGATCTACGTTGCTCTTTGCCTGGAGTTTGTATGATCTTCCGTTGCTCACGTGAGTTTCCTCCCGTTGCTGTGGTTTCCTCTCGCAGTCCAAAGACATTAACTGGCTTCTGGGAAAAGTGGCCCTGGTGTGGTGTGTGCACGTCTGTGTCTGCGTGTGCCCTGCAATGGACTGCCATCCCGTCCAGGGTGTATCCTGCTTTGCACCCCTTGCTTGCTAGAATAATGCTAACTCCACTGTGGCCCAGCGTTGGATAGAAGAGGGATGGATATTATGTTGAAAAGCCGATACCCTGACTTGAAATCCTTGGTTTAATTCATGATTTTTGACCCCTTGAATGAAATTCTCAAACATGAAATAGCCTCTTTTAAAACAATTCATTCACTGTATTTCCACAAAAGTTTTGCTTTTGTCTCATTCAATACTCATTCAAAGTAACTATATTTTTACTCTAATTTCTTGCCCTGCAGGAGGCAACTGGTTGAGAGGTTGGATTGGAAAGATTTCCACTTTATAAACAATGAATGTGTAACCTGCCATGGAGCACGTTATCACAAGTTTCTGTCTGTAAGTTTCATGCAGTCATTCTGAGGCCTCTCATTTAAGGGAATGTTAGAAATTCTTAACTGGAAACGATATCAGTCAGCATTTGTTGCATTTTATTTTGTAAAACAACAAATAAGACCAAATACCCATTTTATAGAGAAGCTGGTGCCTCACTATGGGAACTGAACCATGGTCTCACTTAGTACAGTA